GATCTTACGAGGTCCCTTCCAGCCCTAATGTCTATGAAATTTCCCATTAAGTAATGCATCTTGTGTCAATTCTATTGCAAGGCAGGGCCTTTGTTCTTCACTGGCCCTGGCATGTCTTTCACTTTCAACTTTTCCCCCATCTTACAAGGCTTCCTGCTCTTAAGAATGTCATACAAACCTAAGGAGCACAAAGTGCTTGATAAAGACCCCAGTGAAGCAAGCAGCCCGGTCCATGCAGGCTGTCCAGGCTCTGGGCTGGGGTGCAGAGAGCCCCAGCAGCAGCTGTGCGCAGGGCCACCCAGACTGCACCACCAGGGCACGGCCCAGGCACTGCACCCAGCACAGTGGAGCCAGGTGCTGTTGGGCCCAAGGCCTCGGGCTCAGGTGCAGTTGCCTACTGCCCACTATACAGAGCCGCACTGGGCTCTGTGATGGCATCTCAGAAGGACGCAGCATGGGTGCTGGAGCTGCAGGTTGTTATTGGCTTCAATGGTTTAGGCTAGGGGAGGGCAAGGCCAGGTGGCTGGGAGCACTGCTGGCCAGGAGCCAGGCTCTGAGTGCCCTGCTCAGCTGCACGAGGGGAGCTTGTCCCAGACCAGCACTCCTCAACCCAGCCCTTCCTGCCTCCCAGCTGGTGGGTCAGCATAGGCACTGCAAGCCTGGTCTCTTGCTTCCTCTCCCTCCCCCTGTGCATCTTGGAGGTAGGGATTCATGAGGGTGCATCTCTCCCCTGCCTCCTAGCTGCTGAGGCAGGCAGCCCTGCTGCTGCCTTGCTCAAAACCCTCTCCCCCTGCCTTGGCCTGCCCTGACACACCGGGCTACCTTCCCTGGGAATTTTTTGGCTGTGTCCCTACAGTCCTGTCAGTCCAATGCTGCTTTCAGTTCCCTGCAGTCAGAGCCACGGTGCCCCTGGGGTCAGGGGCTGTAGGCAGGTGTTTGCTGAAGAGTCTGCGGAGCTGTTAAGCAGCTATGTGCCCTTGATACCTTTTCCTTTTGGGGCATATGCATGCGGGTCTGACCTGCCACCCTGACTGGGAGCACCTCGTCTATCTGCTGGGCTGCACTGTGGTTACTGAAAGCTTGAACAACAGCCAGAGCTTCCTGCATGGTCACATTAACAATGTCTCCTGTGCTGCTGTGTCTCTGAGCAGACATTACATTGTTTCTGGGCAGGTCACCTTCATGGGCTTCAAGGTGGGTGTCACGGGTCAGGGTCCATAAGGATGGGCATGATCTCCCAAGGCCCCTTTTCCATACCAATTCAGCCCGATTGGGCACCTTCAGTTCTCACCCGCCACATCTTTGATGGAAAATATGAAGTAGGGAGTCTGCCTTTTAAAGTCCTCTTGAACACTGTTTGCTGGACTCTCTCTGACCCTGTGGGCTCCCAGACCCCTTGTGGGTCCTGTTTTACAATGGGTGTTTCAGGGCACCCTAGCCTTATGACTGACTAATATGCATGGCTCCAACCGTCCCTTTACCACACCCCAAGCCTCGCTGATGGTACTGACATTGTTTGGTCTGGGCCTTGTTATAATTTGGCCCCCTTCTCCTCCCTGGGCTCTCCACAACCCTGTCTCACGCTGCGCCTCCCAGTGCTTGGGCTCTCTGCAGCCCTGTCTCACTGCGCCCTGCAGCCCCACAAAGTGCTGCGCCTTCTCTGGTGCTGGGGTAGGTCACCCCAAATACTGCGCCCTCTCTGGCACTGGGGTCCCCATGCTGCTGTGGGTTCCCTATGAGGCCTCCTCCTTCCCCTAATAGCCTCATCCAAACTACTGATGCTCCTTCCCCCTTGGCTGCTGGCAGGGAACTGCCCTCCCTGGGCCCGGTCCTGGGATTTATTTGGGCCCAGGGCCTTGTCCCTTCTGGTCAGCGGACCAGGTGCCGGCTAATTTACCCTCTGGCTTGTTGCCCTGGTAACCTGCACCTGGGCTTCCTTCTCTCTCTCTGGGCTTTTCCTCCAGGCAGTTACCACCCTTCTAGGAGCAGGGCACTTTTGTGCCCTGCGACAGTGGGTAACAATTTAAAAACATGGCAGCTCTTACAAGCTGGCCCACAGACAGCAAATCTGGCCTGCAGACTGGCTCTGAGGCACTCATCTGGCTCACAGGGCCAGAAGGCCAAGCACTACTGGTTTAAACAATAGCTGAAGTTTTTGTTTTAGGGGAAAACAAATGCAAAGGCAGGAAAGCTATTGCAGGAGACTGGGGTTTGTTTTGAATGCATGCTTGGATCTGTTTCTGATTGTCTATGTGGTGTGTTTTTTTGTTTTTTTTTGTTTTGTTTTGTTTTTTTTAAATAACTCACTTATTTTTAAATGTGCCTGTGACTTTGAAGCTCAAGTCTCACTTTCAGAAGTGACCTGGGCATTTAATAATGGGGTTTAGACTGCTACATGACTGAGTCATTCTTAAAAATGGGACTTTGACTCCAAAGTCCCTTAAGGCAAGGCAACCGTATCTTAATGGCAAGTCACCTCTTGCAAGCTGGACTGTTCTATGGATCGTCCATCCCCTGCTGCACCCCAGTTCCTGCTTTTGGCAGAGGGGTGATCTCCTGTCCTCCTTCCTGCAAGATCTGGTGAGAGACAATTTAGAGTAGCTAATTCAGTGAGCAGAGCCTACAGCTTGTGTGAGATAACGTAGCTTTCTGCATGGAGCCAGAGCTGAAACTACATGGAGCTGGAGCTGCATGGAGCCCTCCACAGGAGCTGGCAGCAAGCAGATTAACTGGCTGTTCATGATGTAACCCGGGTACATGTAATGGTGTGCCCTATTCTCATTTGGATGGGATGGGTAGGCAGGAGAGGGATGCCAGAATTTCAGGCAGATCCCTCTTTCTTCTATACAGTTAGCCCAAGCCCAAAGTTCTTAACTATATACAATTTATTGAGTTACCAACATATATAATAAAACTCCTTAAGATGGATATGATACCAGATATAGATACAAATATACATATAAAGGTCCGTTAGCTGGAAGAAGTCGGCCCGAGGGAGGGCATTTGGGTAAGTACCCATGCCTCAGGCCCAGAAGAGCGGGGATCCCAGGACAGTCAATCCAGCAATTGTACCACAAGTGGGTTAGCTAATAAAGACATCCTTACAGAGCCCATTATACAGAATTAATACATCCAACTATTTATAACACCAACAATAACAATAGATACCAAATGGGAAACATAACTATACCAGACATTAGACGTACCCTTTCTGGGTTCCAACCACTTGGTCCCTCAAATGGAATAGGGTCTTCTCCCCCCTAGGCCCACTGCCCCCAGGGTCCCTTGCCCAGAGGCGCCTCGCCTACGGGACCTGGGTTCCCAGTAACTCCCAGTCCTTCCTCTGGGGGCTGTTGATCTGGTGTCTGGGTCTCCACACTGTCTCAGGCCTCCTGGAGCCATTGGCTTCAAGTTGGTTCTTCCCTCTGGGCCATGTGCCCAATGTGGGGCACCCAGGGAGCTCCTATGGGAGCCAAGCCCTCACTGGCTCTGTGTCCCCAGCCTCACGCCAGCGATCTTTCCCCTTCCCAGGCCCTGCTCTGGGCACCAGGGCTCTTTTAGTTTAATGCTGAGCCATACTGCGGGGCTCTGGTTATCCAGCTTAGAGCTGGGGCTAATTTGAGCAGCCTCGAGCTACTCCCAGGGCCGACTCCCCATGCCCTGACCTGCACACCATGTGGGGCCTGAACAGCCTTGAGCTGCTCCCAGGGCTGGCTCAGGCAGGGTCCAGATGATGGTCATCTCTGGAGCTCCTCTCTCCTCATGGTCCCTTGCTGCATCTGAGCACGGTGGGCTTTTATTTACACCGGAGGCCCTGCCCCTGAAGTCTGCCGGACCTGCAAAGTGCAGTCTTCAATCAGGTCCAGGGGCTCCTCACCACTGCCTCCAAGCAGGGGTGGGGCAAGCCCCTCCCAGCTGTTACCTGATTGGTGAAAATGTTCCACCAATCTGAAGTGTCCTTCTCCACGCTGGGCTTGCCGGGCAAAAGCAGCGAGCCGCCACAATGAGATGCAGAGTGGAAAACTTGGCTGGGATCTGACTGCTAGGCTGCAATGCATTGTTCATAAAACATAGGATTGGATTCCTGGTTGCATTTGGCCTGCAGCCTGCAGGTTGCTGACTCCTGAATTAAGGAATTTTGAAATCCCACTAGGCACCTATTTGCATCTTCAGATGTCTAATACTTTGAAAATCTCACCTTTGTGCCTCACTTTTGCCTATTCACAGGGTTTGCTGTGAAGTTTAATACATTTGCTTTTTGAAAAGGGCAAGGAAGAGACTAGCATTTTCTTCTTTTAGCACTTGTTGGCCCTGTCATTACATTGACTTTAAAATGAAACGCATTTATTAAAGTGACAAATTTGGTGTCTCTGAGTGGGGCTAATCTGAACAGTACTTAAACCTCTGGAGCCTTGGAAAGAAGGCTGCTTTTATGTTCTTTAGACTGACATCTTTGAATCGTGGTGCTTAGCTACAAAAGCACCAAAGTACATTCTGAATACTACTCTTGTTCTCACCCCTGGTTCTTTGGATCTCAGGCAGATATCATTTCGTGGGACTACGAGAAGAAAGAGCTGCTTGCCCGGCTGTCACTTCACAAGGGAAAAGTAGAAAAACTGGCCTTCTCTCCAAATGACCTTTATTTGGTGTCACTGGGAGGCCAGGATGATGGCAAGTAAGAAACTTTAAATATTGATTCTCCCTCCTTCCTGATTTGACTGGCCCTGTAAAGTGTGGGCCAGGTGAGAGAGAGACAGCTTCCATATTTGAGGATGAAACAAGCTGCTGGGCTCCAGCGCTTCACCCCCTTGTCCTGTTGTGCGTCTTGTTTCTAGTAAGCACCAAAAATCAGGGGGAGGCTAAGCTGGTGTCATTTACACCATCTCCCAGCCTACACAGCACACACCATATTTTCTCACATACGCATGCCCTGGAATATTATATACACCGTGTTTTTCAGAGTCAGAATCAATGCAAAAAGATTTGTCCTTGTTTTAAGTAACTAAGTAGGTAAGGAGTTGAGCCTGCTCATTGTTCTGCTTCCTGTGGATCTGTAGATTTTACTTCTGGTTTCACCCTTAAATGGCAGAACCTGCTCTTACCATATTTCTCACATATACTCTCCACTTCAATCTCCAGCGGCTGGATTCTGGGAAAAGGGGGTGTGTTCTATTCAATAAAACATGGTATTTCACAGTAAATTAGGCTTGAAAGCCTGACATATCACCACTGTCTGCACAGCCCTTGCTTACCCCCTGCTGCTGATGGCCATGTTCATCCATGTCCAGGCACCCCAAACTCTGCGGCTGGCCACACCCCGGTAGTCCCACCCCAATGTCCAGTACCCTGCCGGAGTACTGACAGGCTGGGTGAAACTGTTCCATTTGGGCCGTATGTTTGACACCCTTGGGGTAGTGTCTTTATGGTGAGGACAGGATTAGACCCATCAAATCACTTTCTACTGATAACAGAAGACATGATTTGAATCATGGTCATTAGATGCTGAGGGACAAGTGCCCATTACCCCATTAATCATTAAACTACTTTATGAAGAAGGGGAACGAATTGTAAATACACATATCTATTAGATAAGATAACATGACTGAAAATTTCCCTTGGTTAAAATATCTGTAAAGTGACCCCAACACTTTATTCATCTAGGCTGGGAAGATGGTCAGACTCATTTTGATCTATGATGTTTTCAAGCCACTCAACTAAAGCTAAAACCTAACCTCCTCCTCTGTTTTGCAGTGTGGTCGTATGGAGCATAGCTAAGAGAGATGCCATCTGTGGCAGTCCTGCTTCAGCCCAAAGTGCTGGAAATGCTACTGTCCTGGCTCTTTCCAGATGCAGAGATGAGATGTTCGTTAGTGCTGTGAAGTCAGGTTTTGTCTACACAAGGAGAAAAAAGTGCTTCTGAGGGACAAAAGTTCACAAACATATTTCCTTTTACAAAAACTGTTTATTTAGGTGGCAGGAAACTTAAGAAACAGTGTTAATGTTTTTCCTATTGCTTTGTAGGGGTCTTTGACCATCTCAGCTTGTCCCCAGGAGGTATTTCTGCTTGTTCTACACATAAGCATAAGCTTTTCAAGCAGTATATGCAAGAAGCAGTGTGCAACTTTTGTGGCTGTTGGCAGGGGTTTGTACTCATTCTCCATATGTTCTTCCTAATGTTTACATGAGAAAAGCAATCATCAAATGACTCTGAACAACAGCTTATTAATATAGGAATAGTGACACCTTGCAGGTCATCAATTTATTTCTTACCTGTACAGCAGCAGCCTCTAGCCACTGGCTTGCAACGGTGTGAGAGCCCTTCAGTGCAAAGCTGTCATTGCAGCAAGATGAATGTATTATTACTTGCATCGCCCCTGGTTTTCAAAGATGCTGAAAGCCTGTAGCTCCCATTAAAAAAATTTGGAGGGGCTCTTGAGAATCATGGCAATGACACCCAGAATTGCTAGATGTTTTACACAACATATTAAAGGGAGACAAAAGCATATTGAGAAGAGTAGGTCTGTGGCCTAATGTTCTTGTTTGTCAGTCCATCCACGTACCTTGTTGATTTTGGTGGGTTTTTTCCATTAGAAATTGAAACAGACTTTTTTGAATGATTGCTAAATGGGTCAAAGAAAAAATGAACATGATATGAGGGAGAGATGGGTTGTGAATGGGATGAAATAAAGGACACAGTGAAGCTGGGGAGAGTGTGGGGTAAGGGAAGAAGAAAGAGAAAGCAGTAGTTGTTTTGTTTTATCACTAGAAACACCTCACAACCCCATCCAAGCTCTTCAGTTATGTTCTCTGCTAGCAGGTAGAAACAGAGAATAAAACTGCATTTATGCCCTCTGTTACAACATCTCAGCAATAGAACAGTTCTAATTGATATCCTGTCTTATGTACTGGTACTGTGAAATAATTATAATAGTCGTACAATGAATGAGGCAGCAGCCTGTGGCAAAAACCCATAGCTGCTTATATACTTTAAGCCTGCATCATAACACATGATGATAAGGAGACTGAATTAAGGTCGTAAATCCTGTCTAAATTCTGGCATTTCTTAAATTGAGCACTTGACTTTTCAGCATTGATATTCTTTTAATATAATATTTTTGTGTAATAGATATGGTGGTGATATCTGGTTGCAGTGAAGTTGCAGTAATGAAAAGTTATTGGAATTGCCCTGGATAGTTTATTTTCCAATCTATTCAGAACTAAGAGAATGCACAAGGTCCCACCCATGTATGTGTAACTGGGGAAGGGAAGATACTGAGGTGGTTTGTCCCCATGACTACAGTATATACTTCTGCACTTCTAGGCTGTTGTTGGCTAACCTGATGGAAGTCGTCAGAAACTTATCTTACAGATACAATGGATTATTTTTTTGTTTTCTTTTGTTTGTTTATCTGGAATTGTATCTTTTTTCCTTTTATATTAACAAGATGATAGACCCCAGGCAGAACATACTGAAGGTTTTTTGCAGCAGTGCATTATTCCAAGGTCTCAGATTTGTGCATGTATGAATTCAATTGTGATGTGTATTCTTTGGCTACAGTGGGACCATTCGAGTATGGGAACTGGATTTACCAAACAGAAAAATCAGGTCAACTGAATGCCAAATGGGGCAGCTCAAGAGAGTGATCACATGTATCATGGTAAGTTTCAGCAAAAGATGTATAGTTAGGCTGAGTATGTCTCAATAGACTTGTAGGTTATCCTAACCATTTGTAGTGATGGTATGTTTATCAGTTGTAACACCACGATGAGTGTAAAAATATTAAATCTTGGAGACTGTACCCCATAATATTATTCTCTAGACGAGCAACTGTTTTTAGTGTTTTTGAAGAGAAGCAGGCCAACTTTTATCCAGAACTTCTGGCAAGCAAAAAGTCCTTTTTCTGATCATGAGCATTATCAAATTTCAGTTAGAAAAAATGTCTTATCTTCAGCAGAGATCTGGATCTGTTTGTGGTGTCGGACACAAACTTCATTTACACCAGTCCAAGTGACATCCTGGCAATACACCGAAGTGTAGCCACTAATACATCACAAAGGTACAGTTGGCGCTGAGTTCAAAGACCTGATTCAGATTCTGTTCTTTCTCAGTATATTCCCAGAGATGAGTTTTGCCCACAGCTCTTGTGCCATCACAGATTCTCTCTTATCAAATTCAATATAAGATAAAGATACAGGAGGACCAGGGTAAAAACAAATGCAAACACTCCTGATTGTGGCAATACAGAATTAAAGCCCCAAGGGGATCCACTTTCACAAACAAAAAGGAATTGCCTTGTGCAGGTATTTTTTCCTCTCTGTTTAGCTCACTTGTTGCTTGCTTCACCTGATGTGTACCGTTGTATTGAATAGAACTTAAAATTAGGGATAACGAACTGGAAGACAACAGTTGTGGAACTGGCTGAATATCAGGCAGTATTTGGCTATTTGAATTTCTCCAAGAGACATTCAGTGGGATTGGGTAGTTGATGTACCTCTCCTGGCAGCCACCGCTCCACCTCTCTCGCTGGCTTGAAATTTCTTTTTTCCCCTTCTCTGCTACACAGATGGGAAGAGAGGAAAATTATCCTCCCTCAGGCATGGTGTCTATCACTTCCCCTGTGCCCAATCAGGGAGGAGGAGAGCTGTTATTTCTTGAGACAACAGAAAGCGCCTTTTACTTGTCCAGTTTCTAGTAATCTCCAAGGCCTCTGGGAGTAGAGAAATAAGGCCACCCTTGTCCACCCCAGAAACTAGCTCCAGAATCAGTATGTATTGGAAGGAGACTATAGGGCAAGGGGAAGAAGTATTACAGGCATTTCTACCAAAGGATTCTCAAGGGCTGACATGCATCTTTGCCACTTGCTGCTGTTGCCATGGGAGGGACACAATCCTGTTGGAGGAATGGAGGGGGGATGATGGTCTAGGTGCGATCTGTTACACTACATATTATTAAAGCTGCTATTTGCTCCCCATTGTAAGACCCTGTTTTGGGAGGTCTTATTTTGCCAGATTCTAACTAGTCAGGTTGAAATCCTCCATACCAGATGTCTGCCTCAGGTTGAATATTTTTAGGAAACTTCAGCCAAAACTGTACAGCTGCTTCAGAACAAAGCTAAGGGAAAATGAGTTGTTAGAGCTCATTTTAAAGCTGTAACCCTCTAACCTTAAACTAAGGAGGGTTAGAGCTTTAAACTAAGATTGCCACAGGACAGGGGACAACCATCAGTGCAAGCCCAAGAAGTGACAAGCACATAATCAGCAGGTCAGGTAACACCAGGGAACTTACTCGGACCCCAGCCCAAGGACAGGACTCTCCTACATGCACAAAGAAGCTTAGGGCTTCCAATGGCAGGCTTAGCTGTCTCTACACAAATGCCAGGAGCATGGGGAACAAACAGGAGGAACTGGCCCTTCTGCTAAGCAATAAGCAATATGATTTCATAGGGATAACAGAGACCTGATGGGACTTCACCTATAACTGGACCACAGGTATAGATGGCTATAACTTGTACAGGAGGGACTGCGGCAGGAGGAAGGATGGGGGGTGTAGCTCTCTGTCAAGGAGCAGTACACTTCCCTACAAGCAGACATTGGCACCCAAGGAGGGAGACTTGAAAACCTCTGGGTTCAAATACAGGGAGAACGTGGTGAAGGGGATATAACTGTAGGAGTCTATTACAGACCTAACCAGGAGGAAGCATTTGACCATGAATTCTCTAAGAAATTAGCAGAGGCTGCACGCTCTTGATGCATGGTCATCATGGATGATTTTAACCACCCTGACATTTCATGGGAAGAGCATTGAGCCAAACCTGATCAGTCGCATAGCTTCCTCACTTGCAGTGATGAGCTCTATTTGATTCAAGAAGTCTACGGGCTAACGAAGTGTAAGGTGCTGCTGGATCTGGTTCTGGCCAACCATGACATTGTATAATTCTGGATTACAACCAAGATCAAAACTGGATCTTGTATGAGAAGGCAAAAGTCATTCCACCTGTCTGGATTATGAGAAGCTAGACAAGTAGACATCTCTGAAACAGCTAATAATGGCATCATCTGTGGGATAGACTTGGCTTCTGATCATGAAGAGATGATCAAATCCAGACTTTTTTACTACACATTTACATTGTTTCCATTTACTGTTTTAAAGACTTAAGAAATTGCATCCAAAAAAATCCATACTGAAAGACCATTAAGCACACAAAGTCACACACTCAATATAAAAAAAATACCTGAATCAATGGTGCCTGTACGGTTGTAACTGGGCCCCCCTCATCTGTAGGCATCATGAAACATCCTTTAGTTACATGATCATATACTGTGTTTTTTTTCCCCCACAAGACCCCTGCCCCACTGAAGGCACTCACTTTATGAGCAGCTATTCAATATTGTTTTATTTTCAGTGTCCATGGTAGGGGCCTAGGCCTTACTCATTGCACACTCTTCAAAGTGCTCTCTGGAAAGAGAATCATTAAGTTATTTTACAGCTGTTCTGTTGTATTCATCATTATAGTACATTTATCTTCACAAAACTCCTGTGAGGTGAGAGAGATATTAGTATCATGTTCCAGGTGGGGGAAAAAACCGCTCAAAAAATTAAGATCAAAGCATCCCTTACTTTGGGTGCCCATTTTGAGATGCAAGGTACCTACTTTTTCAGGATTTTAATATGATGTAGAATTCTTCATATGAAAAACAGCTTCCATTACCTTCAGCAGTTTCTGATGCTACCCAGCACTTATGCAAATCAGACCCTCGGGTTTTTTAGATGGACACACACAAAGTAAGAATCACATTAGTGATAACCCATGAGACGTTTGGTTTAAGTGATTTGCTTGGCATACAGTTCTACACGACAACATTTAACTATCTTAGCAACATGACTGTCCTTTCTTTTTCTGTAATGCCCTGCCTCATTCAATACATACCATCCAGTGACAGCGGTAAATGAAGCAGGGGCTCTACAGACAGCCGCTTCCTTTACTACCTACCCCGAGTGCTCCCTGGCATTCCCATCTGAGCATGGATTGAAGCCCAATTCCTGTGGCAAAGAAGTACATAGTCATGTAATTAGAGACTGTATCATGATGTGTATGCACATGGTGGGGGGAGGGACACTTAAAGTTAAGAGGCCATGATAATCCTATTACTTGTTAACTTTTGAGTGCTTGACTTTGCAATCTTACTAATGTTCTTTAAATGTTAGTTTGTGTGCGCAATTAGGACTCAACCACCTCATGATTCTGAAACATGAATGTCCTCTGAATAAGGAGTAGTTTTCCATTCTTTGTGAACAAGTCTTCAGGGAGAACTTGTTATGATAAACAATTATCACTGGCTAGGATGCTTGCTCTTGGATTCTCTTTCTTCCTAGCTATAAAAGGCTTTTTGTTAATTCTCAGCTAATGCCCAGAGGTGAGCGGGCTTTCTGAGGAATTCAGACTCTTCATTGAAAAGGTTTCTTGATGAAAATCGGATGTATTTTGCTGTTGTGTTAGAAGCGCTGAAAATGAGTCGGCAGCAAGGAACGCTACCTACCTGAAAGCCTTTTCTGCACTACTGTGATGTATGCCCTTGTGAAACTCCCTGAAAGATGTAAACCATGTGTTTTGAGAGAATGAGGGGCTAGAAAAGACTATAACAAAAATATAACAATAAAACTGCTAGAAAGAGCCACTAGAGACATACTTTTCCAAACTGCCTCAGTTGCAACTGTAGAATGTGTGATTAGGCATACAGCAAGACCAGATACACACGTGAGTCTGGTACAATAGAAAGCTCCAAGCATCACTGGTGCATACACATTTTGTGAGAACTTGGGTGCCAAGTTGCGTCTTGTCTACACTGGAGGAGAATTCCATTCGTGCCAAGTTCCACTGCTGCTTATTAAAATAACAAGCATTCACACAACACTGTTCTCAGTAACATCTTAAATGGCAAGATAATACATGTTTTATACCCCTGCTTGAAACTAGATTAAATTCACTGAATATTAAATTAATGTATAATGTTAGGTATGTGCATCTGAACTGCCTCTGATTTTGGTTATTTTTCTGCCACAGTCCCACGCTGCTTTGTATCCTTCCAGAACTGTCTTGTCTGCTTCCCTGTGTCTTCTTCTTTTCAGGGACAATTGTAAGTAGATATTATCTCCCTGTTTAAATGCTAGCATGAAGCTAATACATCTTCATTTATCATTGCACACTCTTGGAATCAGCATCTAGCTATCTCTATTGTTGTCTAGAGTGGTACCATCACCAGTCTGGAGCCATGCCATTTCCTCACATTGTGGGAAGCAGTGAAGGTTTAGGAAGCCCCCAGGACATATTTTGCAAAAAGGATATTTTGAGGCCATCACCATGAGGATGGCTGATCAGGGTCCCAATCATGACATTGTATAATTCTGGATTACAACTAAGATCAGAACTGGATCTTGTACGAGAAAGCAAAGGACCAAAAGTCATTCCACCTGTCCAGATTATGAGAAGCTAGACAGGTGGACATCTCTGAAACAGTTAATAATGGCATCATCTCTGGGACAGACTTGGCTTCTGATCATGAAGAGATGATGAAAACTGGACTTCTTTACTACACAAAGATTTAATGGGTGCTGGCGACCCCAGAATATCACGAAGTGGACTATGCATTAGGCCTGCCAGCCCCGTGAAGATCTCCAGTGGTTAACATTTAGCTCTTGACTCATAATAAAGACAAGATTGTATGTCATTGGCTGTGACCTAGTAAAGCAAGTGGGGTAGATTCAAAGGAGAAAACATGACCACAGAAATGAATTTCGACTCATTGTTTCATAATGAAGTCTGCGACATATGAAGTGTTTTGTGGGAATTTTTTAAAATAGAAAATATTGCTATATTTCTTCAGTACACATCTGTGCTTACTACTCCAGAAAAATAACACCTGTAGAATGGTACCTGGTACAAGATGCTTCTAGCCAGCCTTCGTGGAAAGGCACCACCGCTTGGAGGGAGCCTGCCACCCCGTAGAGGTTCTGACTGATAATAGGAACCTGGAATACCTCTGGTCAGCAGAAAGACTGAACTGATAACACACTTGCTATCCTCGTTTTCCTCCAGGTTTAGTTTTACAATTACCTGTAGACCAAGAGTCTGCAGTAGCAGGCAGATATCATCTTGTGGAAGAACAAGTATTGAGACACCACAGAACCTATCCACAATCCTGGGGCCCAAGAATTTCACAAATGGGATTACGGAGAGGGACTTGATGGAAGCCTTCAGATCTTCCCTTAGCTAAGATCCCCTGTTTACTAGTCACCCTCATGTCAAGGACCCCTGATCCAAGAACAAGACAAGAATTCAGGTTAAAGAGGGGTATCTTCCATCATCTCTGGCTGGGCCTATCACTGGGTGTGCTTGTATGTCCCTAGGTGGCAACCCCAGTTAGAGATGCCTAGATTTAACCACAACTCCCCAGTGTCAGGGCACCTGAACCACATCAAAACTAGCCTGAAATTTCTTGTGGCCAAAGATGCAGGTAGACATCAAGGCCTATATGATCTCCTGCAAGACCTGTTCCTGCACCAAAATCCAGAGGCCAAGCTCTTTGGTTTCCTTCAGCCCCTACGCACTCCTCCCCAGCCCTGGGCCATGGTGTCCCTTGATTTTGTCACTGACCTCCCTCAGTCCTAGGACCACATGATAATCCTCATGATAGACTTCTTCAGCAAGATGGTATTTCATCCCCTGCCATGGAGTGCTCACAAACTGAACCAGCCCAGTTCACGTAGAATATATTTTAGCTCACAGGGATGCCTGCTAGTATTGAATCAGGCTGCTGGCTATGAACAGTGCCACTTGCACAAAAATGCAAGACACTGGATGAGGCAAGATGGGGTTGTGGTAACAAGCCTGCCACAAAGAAAAAAAATCAGACTCCGCTAATGGCTTGCAACCCGTTAGGTGTAAGAGAGTGGAGTGCTTGCAGTACCCAATACCAGACCCAGGCCATAAGATAATAAAAGTCTTGATAACAGTCCTCAACCTTCTACCACACCACAGCAATGAATAAATAAATAAGTGATGGTTAAAAGTTATGGGCAAAAGACCCGACACACTCATTACATGTATATAACAAGACTCAGAGCAAGCCAGAAAGCCAAATGGGCTGGGGAGAAACCTCCAAACTACATATGTATCTTAGTTGAGCCAAGTGTCACTAAAGAAACACAAAAGGACTAAAATATCCACTTCAAAGCAAAGCCTGTAGAAGACAAGAAAAGCCCAGGTGCACTGAAAACATGACTGTAAATATATCCTGATTAACACATGTCCCCCTTTGATTAAAATCTGTTTCCCAAAGCAAACATCCAGGACCTGTCTAAAGTTTTATGCTATATGACTGCATCTAACCTACCTCAAACCTATTGTCTGATCCTCACTGCCTCACATTTGTACTTATTAATTAAGGCATATTTTTCAAAATAGGCAGTCAATTTCTGAATGTTTATTATGCTAAACCAGGGTATTTTCCCGAAACTCACACCTGTTGTATCCAATGGTCTCTGAGCTTCACTATTTCCATAAGCCATTTGATGCAGCTATTTATTAGGCTCCATTATTAAAATAACTATTGAAAAATAGTATTCTGTGATTAACTTCCTAAAAGGTACTTCATTCAATCAATACCCATCCCATTTGATTCCAAACGGATCAAAAGCTTGCAAACTTCACAAACACACAAACAGGATACAACTCTAATATGTTAATTCTG